CACTGGCTGCTGGGGGAGCAGCCGATGGTAGGCGCGATGTTTCCAGTGCTAGCTGACCCCCAGGGCTGAGACTTCTGGGTTCTAAGCAAACCCAGAGTGGATTGAGGTGAGACCTCCCCCAGCCTGTAGCTTGCATGCGCTGCCCAAGGCCGAGCTCATGTTTTTCTGACTGTGCTGTACAGTTTCAGGCCTGAAGCACTTCTGCACATGACTGTACCGGCGCAACCCTGTTCCCTGCAGGGGCTGTGTGTACCCAAGCGTTTTCCGCCAGCAGATCCTCTTCCCTGTCTGGATCAACTGACTAGAAGCCAGACCACAGCACCTGGCTTTGGTGTGCCCCGCGCCCACGGGGAGCTCCCCCGTGACAAGGGTGCGTCGCATGCATCCGGCGTGGCCTGGTCCTGAGCTGTGTAGTCACCTGCCTGCTGTTCTCTCCTAGCCTTCCGCGCCCTGCTGCAGATCCGGGCTGTGAGGAAGAAGCCGGGGGCTCTGTCGCCGGTGTCTTTCAGCCCTGTCTTGGCACAGAGCATTGATCATGATGAGCACTCTGTAAGTACCTCACAACCCCCTGTACGAAGCTGGGGCACTGGTCTTGGCCTGGGCCAGCAGCTTGTGCACACGCAAATTACTCGGCCTGATGGCCAGCGTCCCTGAGACCTCAGGAGGTGCACTCAGGCCTTGAACTAAGGTCTTCCTGAGCAGTGCAGCCTCTCTTCTCACCCCTGCTAGAAAGCCAGGACCTCTCCTTTGTGGTTTAGCAATACAGCTGATTTTAGCCAAATGCCCTCCTGTCTTTTGGAGGAAACATCCACAGAAACCTCAGTCTGAGGAGGTTTTTCGGGATCTGTCCCAGCGGAAGAGTGGCAGACTGGGCATGACAGAGTGGGAGCTGAGAAAATAGATGGAGGTACAGTTTGACTCGCACACGCATCCGTGTGACAGCACATTCTGATGAAGTGCCCTTGGCATAGGGGTTCCCAACATGGTAGCAGAAAGGCTTCTTTGTCAGGGAGGGGGGTCTCAGCAGGCAGCTGAGAGGGCGTAGGATGGAGAATGTGGGGCCTCGGGCCCAGTCACACTTCCTCAGTGCAGTGAGGGCAGCAGCTCATTGCCTGAACAGTGCTGTTGCACAGCTGGCTCTGCTGAGACACATGACATCAGAGTGAGGAGAGGGAGATCTGGATAATCTCACGGGCTTTCATGGGAACAGAAAGAGCTTGTCCCAGAAAAAGCCTGGGTTTATCCATCTGTCCTCTGCAGCGCCATAGCCCTGCTGCTTTCAGCCGGGGCTAGGAAATAGGGCAGGGGAGAAACCCCGAGGGTGGTTGTGAAGCAGAGCATGGTGTGGAGAGGAAGCAGGTGCAGTCACCTGGAGCAAGGTGAGGAGGTGCTGTGTGTCTCTTCGTGTCACTCACCTCAAGAAACAACTTCTTTAAAACATGGTTTTCTCTTGACAGTGTCCCTTTAGACCCCTTAAAGTGAGCACTGTCTCCCTGCCCAGCAGGAAACCTAGAAGGGAAACAGTAAGTGGACTTGGTTGTACTGGCTCCTACGGCAGTTCTTTGCCTGTGTTGCCACTAGCACGTGGAATTGTCACACGCGAGGGCTTGCTGACACGCTGGGTGTGACTTGTGCCCCTTGCATGGGCTGCGACACTCCACACAGTGCCTCCACGTTAGCAACAAGATGCTCACACCCTGCACGGACCATCGCTGACCTCCCTGGTGTGCGTGCGGGGAGGAATAAGCAAGATGGAAGCAGCTTACCGCAGGGCTGATTCTCAGGGACTTGTTCCCAGGTCCTGAGCCTGGCTGCTTTATGGTTCCTGGTGGAGATGTTTTCGTAGCTTTGTAGGACTGTGGGCAAGCTGCTGTCCCCTCGGCTCACCCAAAAAGCTTCCTTGCACTTCTCATCCCCTTGTCACTTTGGCATGTGGTTTCCAGCCGGGTGCTGGGGTTGGACCAGGTCTTGCATTCAGGAGTGCTAGCTGCAGTGGGCTCTTCTGCCGTTACAGAAACAGGAAGGATGGAGCTTGTTTTGCTGGGGACTCTCCGAGTTGGTGTGTAACTAGAATGCTGTGCTGGGGACAGCATGAACAGCAACTGTGAGGAACTGAGACCTGAGAAGGGGAAAGGCGAGGGAGTAAGCCAGGCCAGGAAGGGTCCGTTTGTGCCTTCTTTGTGTAATCCCATCAAGTGCAGCTACGGCTGTCGTTGGTATCAAGGAGGCTGCAGTTTTCTTTTGCTCAAGCAGGCCTGGATGCTCAGCCTCACAAGGAATGTGGCTTGCTGGGCCTGTCAGGTCTGGAGAAGACCTGAGGCTGGGCTCAGGTAACGAGGCTATTGCAAAATTGGCACAACCCTGGCTCTCTGCAAGCCTCTTACAACAACTAGCACACGTAAAGCAGTGGGCTCTAGGGGTGGTGCAGTGGGAAAGCTCAGTGACTTGCAGGAAGGGTGTTGTAGCCACGAGCTGAGAAATCCTCCCCTGGCCTGTGCTGCAGAACCTGGGCGTACCAAACCAAGCAGCCTTCGAACCCTCAGGCCTTGGTCTACACAGCCAGGAGAAAATATCCCAAAAACGAGCCGGGGGGTTTTGTCTCCCTGACTTTTCTGTCAACAAAACAGCACCTCCCAGCTGCTGTCTGGAAGTGAAATGTTTTTGTGGAGATGGCTTTTGGCCCCAGCACCTACAGGCGGCAGCAACGGAACGGATTCCGTGTTCAGCTGACTGTTATCTCGCAGTCGCCAGCTGTGGTCTTCAGCGCAAGCTCATCACAAGGCCAGTGCTTAGGGAATGTGGGTTGGTGCTTGACCCCAGGTGCCACTCCTTTCCTCCCTGTCAGATCTAGCCCCTCCTGTGACCACGAGTGAGTGGGTTCAGTGATCAGCTCACCCCACACTCACAGCTGGGTTGGAACAGGTTGCTGGGCAGGCTCATCTGCAGCTGGGCGACTGAGAGATCAGGCACAGAGAAGCTACAGGAGTTCCTGGCCAGGCTCAGCAGCAGCACACCATCTCAGCTACAACACAGAATTGCCTCCCTGAGGTGCAGGGCTGAAACAGCTTAATTTAGTGTAAGCCTGGCCTGATGCAGTCGTGCCTCTTTGTTTGCAGCTGGCTGGGTTGAGCTGCCTGTGACCGACTGGGTTGCAGCACAAACTCTATTTATCTCCAAGTCCACAGGACCTTGATGATCAGGAGAGTTAAAGTTGGTTTAATGGCTTAAGTTACAGAGTGAGTTACGGAGGGAGTGGGATGCAGTTTTGCCCTCCTCCCTCCAGGGTCGGTGGTTCTGTGATCCCTTTCCAACCTTGCAGCAGAAGTGACTGTCCAGTGACAGCGTTAGTAGCAGAGGGGACAGAGTCCATGGGGGGAGTGGAAGCGGTGTGGGTGCTGAGCTCTCAGCTGGTTCACACATACTCTGCTCCTCCGACCCTCTCTTAGTGACGCTGGTGGTGCTGTGAAACAGCTCTGCGTACCAGGGCTGGAAGCACGAGTCGGGGTGTTGAGCTGAAAGGGTCTCAGAACCATTGGTGGAACACTTAGGAGAAAAAATCCAAATGTATTTTGTAGCAGCTTTGTTAGGAACCTGCTTTCTCACTCTCCTTGCCCAGCTCTTGTAAGTATGGCAGGGGTGTGTGCCCAGCCACGTTTTGGCTTGCTGAGATGCCCAGTCTCTCAAGAATTGCTCTGGGAACTTGCCTGGAGCATCGTCAGCATTACAGCCCAAAGGGGAACGTGTGGCTGTTGCAGAGCAGGGGGAGGTGACTGTGGGGATGGGCTGCCTGGGGGCGCAGTGTGGGAGGTGCAGGGCCGGGTTGCAGCAGGGCATCCCCTTTCTAGGGGAGCTTCCAGCCTGGTGAGGGTTTCTTAACGTGCCCCTCTTTTTCTTGACCACAGAGCTCTGACAACATCCCTCCGGGCTACGAGCCCATTTCCTTGCTGGAAGCGCTGAACGGCCTTCGCTCTGTTTCTCCCTCCATCCCGTCAGCTCCTCTGTATGACGAAATCAACTACTCTGGAGTGGTGGATGGGATGCCGCCTGCGAGCCGACCCCTTTTTGGGATGGACAGAGCTGTGGAGAGCAGCCACCAAAAGGGCAAGCGGAGCAAGTCTCCGGATAGGTCAGCATGGGGATGGAGGGGTCGCTCCTCTTGCAGGCCCTGAGGGCTTGTGGCCCTGTTACTGAAAAATAACAAAACTCTCCAAACCACACGATAGTTGAGAAAGGCAACAGTGGGTTATTGTGGCGCTGGGTGCGTGGGGGATCTCTCCCCCCGGCGTGCACACCAAACAGGGTTTTGTGCTGTATTTATACACAAAAC